CGGGAAGCCCCTTCCTCTGGACCAGGAGCAGTGGGACGATGGCTCAGAAGCCCCTACCTCTGGGCCGGGAGCAGCGGGACTCAGTACCTTGGTCTGGTGGTCTGGTGTCCTCTGGGTCTTTGTAGTGTGGAATCAGGTGGCTGCCTGTCTGCAGCAGGGTGATTCGGTGTCTTCCGAGTGACTCAGGACCTAGGTAGGGCATGCACAGACCTGCCTGTTTTCAGCAGGCTAATTCGGCGTGTGTTCCGCGCGACTGGGGACCTCGGTATGGTGTGGGCAGACCTGCCTGTCTGCAGCGGGGTGATGTGGCCTCCTCCACACTACTCACTACCTCGGTAGGGCGTGCACAGACCTGCCTCTCTGCAGCGGGCTGCTTAGGGGTCTTCCTCGCGACTCAGGACCTTGGTAGGGCGTGCACAGACCTGCCTGTCTGCAGCGGGCTGATTCCTACAAACATTTCTAAGTATGTCTAAAACTTACCAGGTCTCCCCCTATCAACCAGAATACTTAAAGGAAAGTCAGAGAACAGAATGGTTACATGTGTTAGCAATAGAAATCCTTCAGAGCACCATCATGTTTTCCAAAGTAAAGCTTCCAGTGCACAAAGTTTGCCTAGAAACTCAACAGGCACTTTAGCAACAAGAGAGAATTAAAAATAATGGTTCAATGATACCTTGATTTATTCAAGCCATTGAAAGAGTCTCAGATGTTACATGGCAGCTCATGGTAGGTGTTTGATAAATAACTTGAAAAATTTGAGAAGAATAGCATGTCTCAGTGAATCTGTAGAATTCTAGTAAAAACAGCCAGATTTTTCTCAATAAGCATCTCAAAAAGCATCTTTCAGATGCTTATATTAGATGGGGGGGAGAAGAGAGGAGTAAGGGAAGGAGGGAAAAGAAAGGAGGAAGGGAGGGAAAAAAATCAAAGGAGGGAGAAAAGAGAAAGGAGAGGGAGAGAGGAGAGAGAAAGAGAGAGAAGAGAGGAGAGAGAGGGGAGAGAGAGAGAGAGGAGAAAGAGGAGAAATGCAAGAAAGCAGGAAGGCAAGAAAGAAGACAAAAGACGAGGTTCTCCAAATTACTGGCTAGGAAGCTGCTGGGTTTTTTACTGCAGGAACGCAGGCCCACTCAGAGGTTCTTGAGGGCCAAGTGTGACTCTTCTCTTCGAGTTCTTGTCTTGGAGACTCCTTTGGGTAAGTTTGGAGAGAGGAAAGCAGGAGCGGGGGGGGGGTGTTAATACCTTCCCTTAGGAAGAAGCTAATGAGTTAGGCTGTAAAGGTCAGGTATTGGGAGAAGTGATTCAATTTTTAAAAAGTTGTGAGTGTTAAAAAAAAATAGAGGGGTAGAAAAACAGGAAAAGGGAAGCCGGGCAGAAGAGGAAGAAGGTCAGAGTATACTGTGCAATTTCTCAATGCCCCTGCTCTTCCTCTCTCATTACCCTCATGAAGTGAGCAAAAGTTTCGGAATGGGCAAGAGGAAGACAGTTCGTCCCCAGACCCGAGACGACCCCGGGAGGGGGTTGGCGCCGCGTGGTCCCCCCTCAGTGTGGCGGCCCTCTGGCATCGCGTGGCCCACTGAGCGGTAGCGCTTCCCTCCCCGTCCAGTCTCCTCCCGGAAAAGCTAGGGGACGCTCTGATTCCTGAACCTGCCCCGAGCCCTGCCCTCTTCCTAGGCGGAAAGCACTGCGCTGTGATTCACGGGCGAGCACAGCGGGAGGAGGCGAAAAGCGCGGGAGTCGAGCTAAGTTAGCAGCAGACTCGCAGCTCCTGGGCGGGGCGCACGGACCCAAGAGCTCGGACCGACGACACCGGCCGGGCTGGGGATGCTGTGTCCCCAAGCGCTCCAGCTGCCTGGACTAGGAATCACCGCCGGGTTCAGCAGAAAAGGAGTGCTTAGCAGGGAGGGAGAGATTAGGAAGCACTTTTTGCTCACTTGGCCGCCTGAAGAGTATACGGGAGTTGGCGAACTTCTGGAAGACCCGGACACCGAGAGAGCCCTGGAAACGGAGGAGGTGATCCTACCGAGCACAACCCGCCGGCTCCAGCACTGAGCGCGCTGGGCCATCAAAGCTCCCCGCCCCCTGAGACTATAGATCCGTACTTTTGAGTGGAGCGACTAACTTTTTTGTGGGTGTCTAGAGTGGCTCTGGGGAGCGAGAAGGGCAAGTGAAATCAGACAGAGAGCCGCCTCTCTTAGTTTCCTGGTGGCCAGCTGTTAAAGCGTCACGTCTAGAAGGTGGCGGTCCTGGGACTTGGTGACGGCCCGGCCAGCTAGGCTTGCTTTCCCGGCAGCTCAGATCTTACTCCGGAGCCACTTCTCCGCGTGCATGTGCGCGCCGGCCTCGGCGCGGGGTGCGGGGCTCTGCGCTCCTGGCCTCAGCGGGGATCCGAGTGGATGGCCGCCTGGGGCTGCGCGGGGCCACCGCCTCCGCTGCCTGCGCAGGCCCGGGGCTGGCCTGGAAGAGTGGTAGCTATGGCTGCCCTGGCAGGATTCTGGGTCCTGAGCCTCATCGCCTATGGTTACCTGTCCTTCGGCCAGCGCTTAGAGAAGGAGGAGGGGTCTTGGCGAGCTCTAGCTTCGGAAAGACTGGAGCCCTCGCAGCCTCATCTCATCTTCATCCTAGCTGATGATCAGGGATTTAGAGACGTGGGCTACCACGGTTCTGAAATAAGGACGCCTACTCTGGACAAGCTCGCTGCCGAAGGAGTTAAACTGGAGAACTACTACGTCCAGCCCATTTGCACACCATCCAGGAGTCAGTTTATTACTGGAAAGTAAGTGTTGCTGCTTCTTAAATTTATGCCTTGAAGAAAACTTTTAATTTCAACCCAGCTTCTGTTTTAAGGGAGAAAAAAAATATGGGGAATGAATGAATGATGTATAGTGCTGGGTTATTAAAATGGAATCCCCTATTAATGACAATGTAGTCTCTACTCATCTCGTTTTGCTTTATACTCAGAGCCAACTGTTAGCTTCTGAATGAGGTCAGGCACTCATTCACCATCCGGAGAGCTCCAGAAGTCTCCTATTCCAAATCTATTCTGACTCCTGAACATATTCAGATTTGGTTTCAGTGGTTGCTTTTCTGCAACTCTTAGGTTGTTCTTAACTCTAGAATTGGATGATCAAAGCCCCGGTTCATCTCAAAGAGAAAGGAGCCACGAATACAGATGGAAAGTAATGTAAAATGTAAGCATTGTATGTAGGACACTGCTTGGGTCTTCGATGGGTAATTTTTTCTTACGGTATCATGGATGAGGGCAGACTTAATTAATGAGACAGTTTTCAAAATGCAGGAAAATTCAGTGGTAATGCTGGACAGACGTTAAGTCTTCATCTGAAGTTTACTGCTCCTCTCCTGTCTGGAAATGTTCTGAGCAACTGGCAAAACTCAGGTTATCTGGATGCTTAAGGGAAATTTTTTTTTAGTAGCGGGGATCGAACTTGGGTCCTTGTGCTTGCAAGGCAGGCTGCGGAACCACTGAGCTAAATCCCCGGCCCAAGGGAAATGTTTTTAATATTATCACCATTTTGCTAAGTAGTGGAATCTTCTAAGTTATTCACACATGTTCCTATTTTTGCACTATCCTATCAGAATATAGGCACTGTAACTGACCTTCAATGTCCAAATTTAGCCACTATTGGAGATAAAGCGGGAAAGCTGAAGTCAGGTTACTCCTAGACAGAGATAGAAGAGAAGTTTCAATCTGTGTGTTTTGTGATTTCAGTTGCAGTACAGGGAACTTTTGCTTCAGTGAAGTTGTTCTTGGATTTGGATCTCATGAGAGTAGCCAGTATCCTTTGGAAAAATAAAGACTACAGTATTTTGTAGGAATCTCTGTCTTGCTGAGACTTTTGCTTACAGCATAATTTCCACTGCTAGCAAACTGAAAATTTAGAGTCACTGCCAAAAAAGAAAAGAAAAAAAATCCCTTCCAGAAAGATCGGAAGAAGAGAGAGGTCTCACTATACCTGATCTTGAAGGTTAATTGTGGCACCTTAAAGTCAAGGGCATTTGATTATAAAAGAGCAAATTGTTGGCTGAAAAATCAAAAGCCCATCTGGTGGTCTGGAGGTCAAGTTCTTCATGCCTAATCTCAACCATGCTTTTTTTTTTTTTGGTACCGGGGATCGAACTCAAGTCCTTGAGTTTGCAAGGCAGGCAGCGTAACCACTGAGCTAAATCCCTGGCCCCAACCATGCTTATATTTGGCACATAAAACAAGTGTGTCATAAAGTCTCACTAGACCTCTTCAATTAATTTATAGAAATAAGATTTACATAGATAGCCAACTGTAGTTGAAAATTTGTAACTAAATTATATGAATTTATTTTTCACAGTACAATGTTCAAACAAATGTATTCACCAAACAGGAAAATTTAGTTCTTAAACATCTTGCACTGTTGAAATATCTAGGTTTTATCTTTTAATCTTTATGTTACTTAGTAAGATGAAACAAAACTAAGCTGGAAACAATTCCTAAGTTTTATCTTTGGTCAGAGGTTGATACTTCTGTACTTTCGATGCGATCAAACATTTAATGAGATTTCTTTTCATATTAAAATTTTCTACTCAGCGCAGCAAGTTGGATAACTGGGGGTTTTTTTGTTTTGTTTTTGTTTTTGGTACCAAGGATCCAACTTGGGACCTTGGTGCTTGCAAGGTAGACTGCGAAATCCCTGAGCTAAATCCCCAGCCCTGCATAACCGTTTCAGAGCCAAAAACTTCAACTAGCTACTGTGATTTGATTTAAATTTCTATTTGAATTAAACAGATGAAGGCATTTCACTTTTAGGCAAATTGGTAGAACTTTCCTTAAAATGAATACAGATGTAAGAAAGAAAGTGGTTATTGAAACCTAGTTCCAGGCTTAATATTAATTCTGTGGGGCCTGAAGAATATGGTTACTTATCCTCTCTCTGAGCACATGTCTAGGCTTTCTGGTTCCTCTAAAGTAAAAAAAGAAGCAATAAAATCCCAAATAGACTGAATTATTTTAAGTGGGAAAATAGGTTTCGTGAAGTAGATTATGTGAGAGGATTGAAATATCTTCACCCGACAAAATAAGAGTTTAGATGATTGAAGTTGAATTTACTTTTCATACTACTAACAAAACAATACTACCTTCATACTTTGCTGGAGTCAGATGTAAAAATTTATCTTTATTTTCTGCTACACAAATCTGTAGCACATCCCAGACTCCTTTAATCATTTAGTCTGGCACTATAGCATATTAGTCAGCCAGTCAATCAGCACTTGTGTGCAGACCCCTGTATGTACACTGAGGAGCAAATCAGGAGACAGCCCTATACCCAGATAGTAGTTCTGGGTATGCAAAAAGAATCACCAAAAATGCTAGTTAACATGCAGAGTTCTGTACCCAGCCAACTGATTCAGCTTCAGAACATCTGGGGTTGAGTCCAGAAATCACTAGTGATTTAATGAGCATGTTAGGTTATTTCGATGATAGTGCTACTAATAATAAATTAAGAGCATTAATACACATGCTGGCATCTGCTGAGCAGCCGCTGTGTTCTTGAATTATGTATTAGCATATATTATCTCATTGAATCCTTAGTTCAATTCTATGAGTTAATTGGTGGTGTTTCCCCTATTATATATTTTATATATATATAGATAGCGATGATTCTAAAAGGAGTAGTGATGCAGTGTTCCAGTCACTAGATTTTGAGAAACAGCACCCTTAGGTGTTCGGAGTTGACCTGGAGAGATAAAAAGGTTGATAGGGAAAGTACATGGTGTGATTGACAAATACAGTGAATGTTTAAATTTTTAAAAAATTAGTAGAATAAAAGACACATGGCCATTGGTCTCCCTCAAAATGCTCCTCCTCACTTCTAACACACTTATCCCACAATTTTCATCACTTTCTGAAGCAGTTCATGAAGTCTTTTTTTTTTTTTTTTTTTTTTTTTTTTGTGGTACCGGGCATCAAACTCAGGACCTTGCATTTTTGAGCCTGATGGCTGAACCACTGAGCTAAATACCCAGCCCTGATAATCTTCTTTCTTAAGTGTCTTTCTTTGTGCTCTCATGGCTGCCCTGATGTCCTGAATCCATTCAAAATGTTTACTTTTCATTGTCATTTTGACTTTGGGGAAGACATAGAAATCACATGGTACCCTGTGAATAAGGTGGATGAAGGCAAATTGTAATGTTCTTACTAGACTATTTTTCCATTGGATGGCAATGTGCAGTCCATTCACAATATATTTTTTAATTACACCTTGTAAAGACACTCAGGAAAGAGGCCTTCTAGAACTGCTTCAGAAAGTGGCAAGAACAATGAGATAAGTGTTTGAAGCAAAGGAAAATATTTTGAGGGGAATCAACAGCAATGTGTCTTTCACTGTAATCAGTTTTTAAAAATTTAAACACACACCTTATTTTGTGATCAGCCTTTAATTTATCTCAAGGTAATATTCTTACCTTTTTAAGTGTCCCAATAATGACATATATAAATGACAGCATTGAATTAAGAGGGCTTCAGAAAGAATGATAAGTTTTGCAAAATTTAAACATGCATTTATTGAAGACTTTAGGAAATATTGACAACCAGAACTGAATGGATATCTTTGACAATAACCTTGTGTTTTAACTATTCTGTTGTTCATTTATTCCACTTGGAAACCATGATGATCATCTTAATAAGTGCAAAGGTAACTTGCATAATGCATCTCTGTAATAAGATATTTGAGAAATTCATTTCACCTAAAACACCACCTAACTGCTCTCCCTTGCCAAGGATAAACTCTCCTGATTTCTAACACCTTAAATTAATTTTGCCTATTTTTGAACTTCATATGAATGAAATTACACTGAAGTTACTCTTTTATGTCTGTCTTCTTCCAACATTGTGTTTGTAAATTTTTCAATGTTGCTATTTGCAGATATAATTTGTTCGTTCTCATTATTGGATACTGTTTCTTTGTATAAATATACTATAATTTATTTATTCATTGCACTGTTGATGGACATTTGGGTAGTTCCCAATGTTGGGGTATTAGGAATAGTGCTGGCATAAACAGACTTGTCTGTGTTCCGGATGAATATGTGTATGCATTTCTCTTGACTATCCAGAAGGAAATAGAATTGAGGGATGGTAGGGATGTCTATGTTCAGTTTTTGCAGACACTACCCAACAATTCCCAGAGTGATTCTACCAGTTTATACTGTCACTAGCAATTGTGTGGAAAGTTCCATTTGCTGCACATCTTTGCCAACATTTGGTATTGTCTTTTTTTTTACTTTTCAGTGTTTATGATCATTATACACAGGCTTTACATTTCTCTGATAACTAATGAAGTTTAGTGTCTTCATATTTCTATTCACCATTTCAATATTCCCTCTTAAGCAGTAGTTATTCAGATCTTTTTCCTGTTTTCTCTTTAAATGATTGTTTTCTCTGTATGGACTTATGGTAATTATTTCAATACTCTACTCCTTTGCCAGATACTTGTATTCCAAATATCTTCTAATTTGTGATTGCTTTTTTATTTTTAATAGTGGTTATTTTGTTTTGTTTTTGGTGAATAGATTTTCATTTTATTATAATTCAATTTTCATTTTTTTCATTTTATGTCCTATTTAAGACATCTTTGTATAACTCAAGATCATGACAATTTGATCTTTTCTCCCCAAAATTTTTATTATTTTCTTTTTTGCATTTAGATCTTCAATTTATCTGGAATTAATTTTTTAGTATAAATCAGAGTTTGATTTTTTTCCATTTGGCTTTTACTGTTCATTAAG